GGCAATAAACTCACAGTACCACAACACTGGCAGTGGCATACGTTACATGTAACATACTGAGCACTACAGATGCCTATAAATTATACGATTTAAGGAGCATAAACGTTCTTTAACCAAATTTAGCTTTTGAAATTTCACTGTGACATTGTAGCCTCATACATCAGGCATGTATAGATTCTTAGCCAAATCCGGCAGTCAAATTCTTTCTAACACACAGTCAACAAATCCATGTTTAACCTGCCTCTGAGGCGTAAAAGGTTATCCGCACTTACTCTTCGCATGTCAGCAGAAGGGACATTTCATGGTCCTTTCAATAAAGCCATAAAAAATACTAGGTCACCGCTGAAACAAAAAAGTTTTTCAATCGCTCCGTCAGACCATGTCCTCAGAAAATGTCTAAATCTGCCCTGTGCCCATTGCACCTTTGACCTGTGACCTCCAATTTTAGCACAGTGATGGCTTTTCCTACCATGATGCTATACACCGACTATCACGAGCCTAGGTCGAGCCGTTAGATTTGTGCGGCCCCAAGCCGCAATTCTGCATTTCCTCCCTATACCTTAAGTTAAGGAGTGAATGTTCCCCCTTCTTTTACACCTCTTGACCTTTGACCTTTGACCCCCAGCTTCGACACCCCAACTCGTTTTGACGATCCCCCCCAATGTGCCGAATATCGTGACCGTACGTCGAGCGGTTAAGATTTGTGCCCAACTGTTGACGGACGGACGGACGCCCGGACGGACGCCCGGACGGCCGATCATGCGATTCTACAAGCTGCACCTGACTATGTCAGATGAGCTAAAAACCACGTTACTAATATTGCTGATATGTGTCTGCCTGGGCACATTGTCGAAAAAAAATTAGTCGTAATACTAGTCTTTATACATCAACCATTGATAGTGCGGTATATCTTTTCTCTAAGACCTTTGACACAATCATTGTAGAATCACGAGAACAAAAAATCCTAGCAGATTTCCTCACACATTTACCAAAAATTAACTTCTGTCAAGAGCCTACGGGAAAAGATTTTGTTCCTGACTGCGTGCACATTGAACAAACAACTAAATAGAAAATTTGAGCATTTATGCAATTCAATGAGACTTGGCATAGAGAGGCGCATCGCGAGGACCCCTAACATGTATTGTTACTAATGACCAGAAGAAGAAGTAGATGACGTCATTGAATTGAATTAATTTCTTAGGGGTGATGCGCTATAGTGGGGGGGATATATGTCTGAAATATGCACTTCTGGAAAGAAGCATGAAAATCTGCCCTAGGGGATTTTTGAGTATGCCGATTTCCAAAATTGCGGGAAACACGATGTCACTCCTACGGTTCCCGCCTAAATGGCCACCAGAAAATTTGTTTTTCCCCATAAATCAGCTGTAAGTGCCTCGATTACCATGATCTTGGTGTCTATATATATATTATTATGTGCATATAATATGTATTACGTAGATATCCATTATGTGAGGTCTGCGTCACGTCAAATGTAGTACAGTATTACTATCTCAACACACTCCAGTGTGTACTGTATAAACTGGAAACACAGACGAGAAAGCTGTCTGTGGAGAGCAACCAACTAGATTAGCTTTAGTACACAACGATCGCATGACGTCACACCACGACGACGTCACTTATGACGTCACTATGACGTACCGATGACGGTGGGTTCTAGATCCACGAACACGGCGCGCGGTACGTGCTTTCCGCTGTCCGTCTCACTAAAGAACGTGTTGAACGAATCCTTCATCTGTCCCGGACTGCAGTCCAGGGGCATGGTCCCGTCTGGCTGTATGCCGTGCTCCAGGCAGTATAGCTCCCAGCAGGAATTTCCTATCTGGACGCCAGCTTGTCCGACGTGTATGGAGATACATTCACGCTGAAAAATCGATAAGAAATCAATGAGTAATTGTTCGATGACATGAATTCATACGTGTTGATAGATTTCTATGAGATCTGTTCGTGATTGTTTAGAGCATAATCGGATACTCTCTCTCTCTATA